ACGAAATGTATGTATGGTGTATAAGTAATCTAACATTTCTAGGTTAAAATCGCCAAAGTCTTCAATTTGTTTTTTAATATATCTTTTTAACTGATTCATTGCTAATGTAAAGAATATATTGTTTAGTTGAAATAGATCCATAAGCATATCAACCAAATCCAAGATACGTTTTTTGACCTTTCTTTTTAATACATTATTAAATCTTTGTTTATAGTATAATAGGTCAATCGACATCAGTTCGATTCTATTGTTTAGCCTTTTAATAGTTTTTTCTTTTTCTTTGATAGTTTCTTTAACATTTCTTAGGGGTTCAGGTTGTATTTCTTCATGATTTTCACCAAGATAGTTGTTTCAAGCTTCATTCATTTTTTTTTTAATAAATTTTATACATGGTATATATATATTTATATTTACAAATAATATTATTAGTTAAACAAAATTGTGTTTATTTAAAAATATTTTTAAACTAAACAGTAAGCAATTGAAGATATGTATTAGCCAAATGAAAAATTTTATTTGTTGCCTTAGACTCTCATAAATAATCCTTACAACAGGAACTAGCAAATAACACTAAGCAATATATGCTATAAATAAATTTGCTTATTTATTCAGACTTGTATGAAAGTTATACAAGCCGAGGACTTTATTTAAAAAAATTTTTAATACTTTCAACTAACTTTTTTTCATTTACGACTAATATTTCTGAACATACGCTTTGATGCCAAGTACTAGCATCCTTAGTTAATGGGTTACTATTTAATTTTTTACTATTATAAATTATCATACCTAATGAATCTTTAAAGCGTCCAACAGAAGCAGATTGCATCCTTTGAATCACATCAATGCCTATTTTAGACATTTGATTTTTACATTGAATAATAATTAAATTCTTTTTATAAAATGTGAAAATATCACTACCAAAATCACCTGGTCGACATACAACTAATTAAGCTACAAATCTATTATTATTTAATAATTTAACAATTATCTTTTCAAAATCATGACCAATTTCATAATTTGTTTTCTTTTTAACTACCACCACCTTTTTCTTGTTTGTTAAATTTGTTAATCATTTTAATTTTCTTTCAAACTTCTTAAATTTAATACTAATTTTTTTCTGATTAATTCCAATAAATATTTTATCATTTGAATTGCAAAAACCTTTAAATTCTACAATATTAGTTTTAATTTTTTCTAATTTTTTAAAAAAAATTAAATTTAAATTGTGTTTTGATAAATTACTGAAAAATAATCATATTGTTTATTTGTAATTTTCAATAAATTTTGATGTGGTATCAAAATATCATCATTAAAAAATAAATTAACACAAGTAGAAACAGTATTGTTCTGACGAATTTTTTCGTAAAAAATATACTCAAAATTTATAATATTAAGTTTCTTTTTAATATGTTCTAACAAAAATTCAACAGTTTTTTCAAATGAACATTGAAATTTATAAAATTCAAGATATAAACATTTAGTTAACATTTTTAAATATATTTATTAGAAATATTGCTGTATTTATTGATATTTTTTGGTTATCAAATTTTGATGTGCAGTCGATACCACGAGCAGGTAAATATCAAAATCGACCAAAAACAGAAATGAAGAGCCAAGATTTCAGGGGAGATCTGGGTCAGTCTCCAAGCCTATTGTGATCTGAAAAAGGCAAACTGTTAAAAGTTTCAAGATTTTTACGTCTTGTTCTCATGAAGAGAAGCCACCAAGACCTTTCTTTACACTTATCCGTTTTAAAAAAGTTTGACTTTTGTTGTTCAAATACAGCTGCCAAAAGCCTAAAACAGTGTATCGAGTTGCACCTTATTGTTATGAGCCTTAGGATTCAACCGGTGAATTCTTGCAGTATGCCCGAAGATGACTTATGTTAAGAATGCTTTTTACTCTTCTATGGTAGAAAAAAGCTTAAACACGTCTGTCAAAGAACCAATGTTCTCAAGATATTTGAATATCAGACACTAAGTTTTTTGTTCACTCTCGAGATTGAAAGCCTGGCCAAAACTTAATAATGACCATCTGAAATGATAAAAAATGACCCATTCATTCTTTCCTATGCATAAAAAGATGAGTACTCTTCTTCAAGCCTTTGTGAAAAAACTTGGATATCTTACAGTTAAACATGCGAGGGAAGCTTAACTAGCTTAGTTTAAACTCATATTCCTCAGTCACATTTGCAATCATTAGAAGGAACGAAAAGCTAAAGCTTGCTCTTGGCCACGTCTCTTAGAAGCATTATTCTAATTTTTATGGCCAAGTTATTATGCACCTCATGGTATTATTTTACCACTTCGCTCTTGACAAGATCATGCCTCAGCTATTATGTTCGTAGTGGAGCAAGAGCATTTTTTTCCGAAAAGTGGGGCTTTTCATCTTTTTAACTTGGTTGATCATACATTTTCACACGAGAATATTTAGATTAGCTGTATAAATAATTTTTTATTTATATATTTACAATTAAATTTACAATAACTAATTTGTACGTATAAATAATTTTTTATTTATACATTTACAATTAAATTTACAATGAGAATATAAATAATTAATTATAAATGATTTATTCAAAGTAATCCCAATATCCCTCATTATCAATTACTTTTCCGTTTGCAGCATGCGACGAAACAACTATATTTTTAAAATATTTTACTTTATATGCTCTTTCGATTTTCTAATTAATATTTAGGTCTGAGGTTCGTTGAACTTGAACTGGAATTTTCTTTACTTCTAAACCTTGTCTGATAGATTCTTGAAAGCAGTATAAGTGACGATTGTCACTTGAATACCACATATCATCGATCAGACAGACACGAATATAGGGAAAGTCTTCTATTTTGATTTTTTTATCAACTAAGTCTTCTATTGTGTTTTCAATATCATTTTCTATCTGAAATATATTATTAATAGAAGTTTGGCTGAAGTTTATTTCAAAAGGGTCTAGGTCTTCAATATAGTTCCTGTCAGCAAGTTGTAATTTTATAACCAAAAATTTTACTCTCCACAATAGAAGAACAAATGGAATCCACATTAGCACTTGAGAGAATAGTGCTATGCAGGGAATTAGTATTAACAGTCCTAATTCCAACAAGTATTCTTTAGATAGGTTTTCTTCATCGGTAGGTAGTGAGGCTATTTCATTAGCTTCATTGTCCATCAACGAAGTAGCCTCATTTATTTCTTTGAATGGTTCACCATCTTCTTCATCGTATCCATATTTTATATCAAAATTTTGTTCAATTTCCAGCCATCCATCTATGTTTAATATAATATCTTCTTTTTTCAAAATGGTGATTTTATCCATCTTTACTTCTTTAGTTGTGTAATTTTTTTTGTTGAATTTTTTAATGATATTTTTGAGTGAGGGTATTTTAAAAGTGTATATATAGGCTTGTATTTGTTATAATCTTAATAAAGATGAGTGAGATTAAATGTTTTCAGAGCATTTGCTATTTATATAAAAAATTTAAATATTGCTTTTTAATTGAGAAGGTAAAGAAGGATAATTCGACATATGTTCTAATTTCTAGTTTGAAAAATAATGTACCAATCACAGTTTCAGAGTTGTTTGATAACAGATTTTTATTTGTGTTTGTGTCAGATGATAATAATTTAGGATTTAATTTTTATGAAAAATATATTGCTTTAACTCCATCTATATTCGGGATTAAAATTTTTCATAATGATAAACTTCTATACAAAAACAGTAATATTAATTTTTTTATCAAAGAATCGATAAAAGAACCTTTACATTCTAGCGTAAATACAATTCCCGATTAGCGTTATGAGCAAACCGGTTTTAACAGGTGGCAAGATGTTGGTTTAACAGAACCTTAGTCTTTTAAGTGAGAAACAAACATTATTGCAGAGAAATATCGCTCTAATAGCAGACAAGGAAGAGTTATTACTTCATAATGCTGACCTTTTACATTCTAATCAAGACTTACAAGCTATTATTGATCAACAGCAATTAAGAATTGATCAGTTAACTCGGGATTATAATTATTTTAGGTCTAAGAAAACTAAATTAATTTCTCTAAAAGTTTTCATTTATGTTTTGATGAACATTTTTTTTTTTCCCTTTTTATCTTATTTCTAAACTATTTCACAAAATATGAATTAAAATGTATTGTTGTCACAAATAATTTGTAATATTCATTTTTTATTTAACAATAAATTTATCTATATAATTTATTTAACAACAAGCAAAATTTGTAAATTCTTCAGTATATTTATTGCGTTGTCAACAGATTTAAAAATTTGTTCCATAAATTATTTCGTTGTTTGCGTTGCCAAATGAATTCATACAGGTATTCGTTAATAATGGGTAAACATCTTTTTTCCATTGGAATAAATGCTTTCAATGTCTACCAGGTTTGTTTAATATGATTCGTATGAATACGCATGATTTGTAATCTACAGCTTACTCTCGCGTGAACAACTTTTAAATGTCTGTATCTCTGATGCTCCAGGTCTTGGTATCCACGCCAGGAATCTGTGTATATGGTAGATTCTTTTCTCACATGTTTCTTAATAATCCTGGTTAGGGTTTCTTTTTTATGATCATTAACCACTTTAAAAAAACATTTTTTTTCGCACGTTCGATCATTCCAAGAACCCACAGATCTTTAAATTTCGATTTGTCAATTTCAACGATAACATGATCACCACCCAGGATAAAATCATTTCCCGAAAGCGAGTTTACTGCTAATCTTTAAAGGTATACATGTATTTGACTAACGTATTTTCTACATGATTTGTTATATTTTTAATTTGCTGATATTTTAGCTTATTAATCCAAAGATACCCAATCAACAACACATCACCACATTTTATGTTTGATTTGGAGAAGAATGTTTGATCAAAAACAGAAATCGATTTTTGGCAATTCCTATCGCGACAGATAAAATATCGTTGGTAAAAACATGTTTCTATATTATATTTTGAGCACTTTTCAACGCGTTTAATGATATTTTTTTCAAGCAAATATTGAATACAGTTTTGCTTATTGAATAGGATTTCACTCAATGATTTCAATGAGATCATTTTAAATTAATTCTAAAAATAGATTTCTCGTGTTCATTGAATATTTATATAAACTCTACAATAACTTGAAAATTTAAAAAAATGAATTTTCTTTTTCTTTAACGCGCATAAAGAATCAAAATGTCAAAACACATAAACCCTAGCACAGAAAATATTTCTGTTTCGAAAAAACAAAAAACAGATAATAAAACTAATATTGAAATTCCTCATCCTATTTCTCTTGTTTTTAATTATGTAGATGATCCTTACATGTTTGTGGATGCATCAATGGTCTGTAGGGCATGGCGAAAGGAGCTTGATGCGCATATATTCTGGAAATATCTGGTTGAACATTTGGATTTCGAGTCTCCCAATCCACGTTCTCGAAAATACAAGACTTACAAATCTATAATCGCCAAAAATGTCAAGAAGCTATGCTACTGCAAGAGAAACATTGGCGAGAAAAATAATGACCTCAAAATTATTGAGTTTAAGATAGAGATTATCCATGAGTATTGTAACGAACAAGCTAAGTTTTATCGGACTTGGCTCACTCAATGCTACTATGAATTCGTCCTTAAGATCCGTAATTGGGTACGAGATATCGATAACCAGCTTGAGTATAAGAAGCATTGTGATCTCTGTGACAATAAAGAAAGCATTTATGATCAAATTCGTATACTTATTGGCAATATTTATAAAGAAAATAACTGTTTTGATAGAGCCAATACGTTTTTTAATAGAGATATAATCAAAGTAGTTGTCCGTAATCTTTACAATATTTTAAATGACAGACTTATATATATAAAGAAATTTGGAGGTGTA